AGTTAACTCTACTAATTTGCCTCGTGCGTTTGTAATATTTAAAAATTGAATTTCCCTCCATACAAGCGATTTATCATGAAAAATTGGATCGTCCGTCGTAATCCAATTATGATCATTTTCGCAGTTTTAAATTATTTTTGACAATATCGTTAATCTGCCATCACTCGTCGTATATGGTTATGGGGTGGATTATATGAAAAATTCAATATGCACGGGGCATCAAAAATGAAATTGTTTTTTTTTAATTCTATTAAATGTTCCATCGGTCCAAGCCGACAACGGCTTGTTGTATCAAATATTAAAAATATTCGTCAATAAACCGGAAGAGGATGAGTTTTGTGAAATTGAATAAAAAATAAACACAGAAAATGTCAAAAGTGATAAAAATTTATTGAATAGCTGAAGCTGGGGCGAAAAAATTGAAACTTATGTAAAATGATAATTATTCTGATGCAATTGATAATTGGTTATTTTAATTCACTTATTTATTATATCTAATGCCAGATGCAGCTCTAGAATATATTTTTCATTGTTTGTTTAATAAAATAGATATATTATTGCTTATTATAATTTACAATATTTATTTTAATAATAAATCTAGTGTCAAAGTCGTATATCAAAACTCTAAAAAAATACATTGAAATGCTTTATTCTATTGATACTTTTGAAATAATAGAATTTTTTTTAAGAATTTTCATCAGGTTTTTATAAAGTTTATCAGAAGATATTGGCAGTCTAAGAATAATGCTATTTGTTATAGCAAATATATATAATATTTATTATAAAAAAACTGATCTTGAAACTTTACGTAAATTACCTGATAAAACTAAATTTGTAACCGTTTATTAGTTTTAGAAATAAATTCACAATAATATTATTTTTCATAGAACGAAAAGTATAGTTTTTAGCATAATTTATATCACAATTATTAAAAAATTTATTTAATGGGAAAAAATTAATATTTTTCCCAGAAAACCTTTGAGATTTGTTTTTAGTAATTTATTTATTATAACGTTTTTTCTTTAAAAATACTGAATTTAATCATAAAATATGTTTAATAATAAATCTAGTGTCAAAACTCTAAAAAATACTTTTTTCGATTGATATTTTTGAAATAAGCTTTGTATAGAACAAATTTTAAGAATTTTCATCAGGTTTATATAAAGTTTATCAGAAGGAATTGGCAGTCTGAGAAAAATGCTATTTATTATAGCAAATATATATTATTTATCTTAAAACTTTACGTAAAATTAACTAATAAATCTAGATTTATAACCGTTTATTAGTTTTAGAAATAAATTCACAATAATATTATTTTTACAGAACGAAACGTATAGCTTTTAGCATAATTTATATCACGGGATTTATTTAAGGAAAAAAGTTCATATTTTTTCCAGAAAACCTTTGAGATTTGTTTTTGTAGAAATTTATTATAAAGTTTTTTCTTTAAAAAATGGCAAAAAGTGTCAGAATTAATTTGCTCACTGAATTTAATCATAAAAATATGTTTATTAATAATATAAATAAAATACTAGGAACTAATAATAATAAACCATCAAATTTTAATCTCAATTTTTTAGCATATTTTATATCACAATTATTATAAAATTGATTTAATGGGAAAAAGTTCATATTTTTCCCAGAAAACCTTTGAGATTTATTTTTGTAGTAATTCATTATAACGTTTTTTCCAAAAAAAAATGGCAAAAAGTGTCAGAATTAATTTGCTTACTGAATTTAATCATAAAAATATGTTTAATAATAATATAAATAAAATACTATGAACTAATAATAATAGACCATCAAATTTTGATCTCAATTGTCCTTCGGCGTTGAAAACATTTTATTTAATTAGAAGCCAGAACGTCGATTTTAAAATAGGAAAATATTTTTACTTTTCTTAGTAATTCAAATAAAAAAAACAAAACTTAAAATTTGAACATTTTCTTTAGTAATTGGAAAATTTAATGTGATTTAAAGTTAATTAAGAATAATAATGAATTAAGCATCATTGTTTGTTCAAATTTCGAGCTTTTTCGGTTAAAATTTTGATAGAATTTTTAAATTTGCACTAAATAAATATTTGAGCAGACTCTTGAAACTCATATGAATGTCAACGTATTTTTTTACTATTTATGTCTATTCCTATGACCATTGTAAAAGTCATTCTATTACCCCCGGTCTCCCCTAAACCGTTCGTCGGGGTTGAAGTTGATAATTCGTCGACCGATCGTCGACAATAAGCCCTGCAATCTACCCGCTTTGATGGCGATATCTGATGAACCCGCTTGTAATGTAATTTAATACGACAAAATAATAATTAGTATTGCAGGTTTTTGCGAAGGGTTTTTTAGAAGAGACAACACGAGCGCAGGGACATCGTGAGATAAGCAAATAATTTTTAAAAAAAGGTGAACCTAGGAATATTTTTTAGTAATGCCATAAGTACCACTATACTTATATCATTTTTGTAAATTTAAAATTTAAACTAATTTATAGGATTCGGATTATTATTTAATTTATCAGCTTAGTTATATACTATATCTTACCTATATTAATAATGAAACACTAAATTTGATCAATTTTAAGACAATTTGTGATAAGCTCGAAAAGTCTACTTCAACACTTCAACAATTTTTCTAGAGAAATACTGGAGACACGATAATTTTTTTATATCTATATATATATATATATATATATATATATATATATATATATATGAGTCTTTTATTCTATCCGATGTTATCATAGCAAAAGTAAATATGGATCATATAACTTTCGTTTGTTTGGTAAGATTGCCGAGGTAAAAGATAATTGAAATAATTGATTTACAAATATAATTTTTCTATACATTTTCCTATTATTGATATCGATACAATTACCCGATACTATCTTTTGCGTTTAATATTTAATGTTATAAGGTTTTTGTTAGAATTGATTCGAAATAATTGAATTATTAAATAAAAACGAGAATTGTAATATATAACATTAACAATTTTTTCATTATCATTGTTTTTACTAATAGTATAAAAAATTAAATTTTTCACCACATTTTTAACAAATTTATCAAAAATATATAGAACTAGAAGATAAAAAAGTAAAGTTATTCAAAGAGCTCTTTATAAAGATTTAAAGAGCCCTTTAAAAAGCGAATTACAAAATATTGTACTTTAGTGAGAAACTTCAGAAAATAATTGACTTTTAGGATTTAGAATGATACGTATATGAGGCAATAGATTTATTAAAGCGTATTGACATTTATAAATGCATTTATAATTTGACATTTATAAAAGTGAATCCCAGAACTCAACGTCAATATGAAATTGGGTGATAATATTGACTGAAACTATCATGAAAATTTTTTCTAGAATTATGAGCTTTTAAGTGCAACCTAGAGCTTTGGTGTAACTTCAACTATTTTTTTGGTTATTGTGAGTAATTTTACTAATTTTGGTCATTTAAACTCTGGATCCGTAATCGTAAATAACATTTTTAGGAATACAGTCAAAAATAATGACATTTATTCCAAATTTTCTAGTATTATTACCAAACATTATCATTGTTTTGATTTAGTTTATTTTTTATTTTTGAACGTATACTGTTTACGATTATAGCAGTCTCTGTCCTAGAAAAAATCGGGCAAATGTACTTTTTATTCAAAAAAATAATTTGTTTTTGGCCAATTTTTTAGCAATATAATTGTAAAAACATAAAGCCTTTATATTAATTTTATGTGTAGATCAGTTTAAATAATTTTCGAAAAATAATTTAATATAAATTTATAGTTATTTAAAATAATCTTGGATCTAATTTTAAAGCAACAATTTGTTTTCAAATAGCAATTTTCATAACCATAAAAACTTTGAATAGAATTTTATGAAGAAATCGGTATGAGTGATTTTTTATGTTTTCTTTATGTTTTTAAAATAATTATTATCAATATTTCATCAACATAGTTCAAATTAAACATAAAACTGTTTTTGATAGAAAACCTGATGATTAAACGTATTTAGTTTTCAATTTTTGTGCAACATATTTAAAAAAACTTGTGTTTATTTATTTGTTGTTCTATTTACTAGAAAAAAATCATGAAAATGTATTTGCTTATTTATAAAAAAATGTGTCAAATTTCTTATCAATGTAGATATGACAGCACAAAACGTTGAATGTAATTGTATAAATAAATCACGACAATTATTACAGTCTCTCTATACTAGACATAAATACATATTTAAAAAAAAAATTTACTACCAAATTATTATAGCAATATAGACTTAAATTTTATCTACGGTTCTTACTCAAAGAAATATTTGGGCAAATTTATTTTCAAAGGCAATCTAATCATAAAATATATTGACGGGAAAATGTGTTTTTCACCTAAAATTGTTGGTAAAATGGAATAAACTTCATATTCATATTTATCTTTGAATGGCATCAAAAAATCTAATTAGATTCTAACGTTATTTTACGTTGTACGAAAACCCTGAAGACTGGGACTTCTAATACATTTGTACCATTAAAAAATCAATTAAAATAATGTAAAGATAAGTTGTAGATAGTAGGTATGTAAACTGATTGAAGATAATATAAAAATAGAGCAATTTTTTGATACGGTTTTTGTGGTTCAAGCGGATAGTTTACTTTGGTTACCAACTTTTTGATGAGTATGCGCAAATTTTATAGCACATACGCATAAAAATTGAAAGGATCTTCACACACATAAATATTTTTTAAATTACATCTACAATTTTTTTTTTATTGTTTCCACAGCAATCAGAACTCTTTATTACTGTTCTATAAGCTGTTTTTGTGTATGACTTATGACCTAAGGTGTTGATATGAGAAGCAACCCATCGGTTGATCATTCTCCTATGTGTGGGGATTTTATTAGCTCTTATGTCTAATAGTGTGCATATGATTGAATACAACTATGTCTACGAAGGACGATTTCCACTTGGAATTATATACATCTACAAATACTACAATATTTATCAACTCACCATCAAATTTTCCCTTCGGCGTCACAATCCTAAACGCACTACCCGCGCTCTGTCTCTGCCCACTCGGGCTATGTCCGTCGTCTCTGGGACTTGCTTTTAAAGTCGCCAACAAATTTGTTTGATGTTGCAAAGGTTGATTTTGAATTTGCGTTGTTTGTTGAAGTTGGACAGGCGACGTTTGTTGAATACCTGTAGCACGTACTTGGCTTAGACTAAAATCTAGAGGCGCCGCTGGGAGCGCCATGGTAAAGGATATATGGGTTAAAATTTAGTTTAGCATAGTTCAAAGTTTGTATCCAAAAATTTAAAGTAAGCACTTTGGTTAGAGTATGTAAGTTCACTTGTAACACTTGTACACAAATTGTCACACCAGGATAAAAAAATTGTCAAAGTCCAAAATTTCACCAAATTTTTTATTTTTTTTTACCGCGTCAAATGTTTACCCCGTAAATCTGTTACCTCTTGGCGCTTCGAGTCGCGCCAGTGGAGTGCCCACAGACCGGCACAGACGTAG